CAATATGAACCTGGTGGTGTTGCAACCCTATGAGATCAACACACGAGTGGACGAAATCCCTGAAATAAGGTTGATATTCGTCCGTTACGTGCTTTGGCTGAACGAGCGACAAGGCCCATTTTTTGGCATATACTACGCGGAGCGGATACGTGCCAATAGGTACGCAATCATAGGGGCTGAAGCGTTATATGATGATGAATTGGAAAATGAAGCGGTAGAACTCGAGGAGTTTTTACGTGACTAATTTGGATTCGTTCTGATACGCAGATGCCTGGAGCACGACGAGACTTGAGGATCCAGAGGTATCTGCTGGTTCGTGATACACATGAGGATGATCTCATCAGGAGTGCAGCGAGACTTTTACGAGCTCGAGATGGATCTCCTATCGACTGGTTCGACTTCATTGGACTACTTCGAAATGACGAGGGATTTTTCCCTAAAACTCGCGCGGATTTCAGAGCCAACACGGCTCGAACTTCCGATGAGCTTTACGGTTATACTTTGTATTTCCACCGCGCGAGTAACCTCCAATGTTTCTCTCGAGTCATTGTGAGTATCAAGATTACCTCGTCCGGTAGGCGTTTCGGCTTCGTCCGGATCCGGGACACAGAGACTCGACACCTGTTTGGACTTAGTCGACCTCTCCGAGTTATAGTTCGGAGGCTAGCCTCTCGGATGACCTCCTTCTATGATACTCGGATTGTTAGAGTCATGCGATGTGGACGAAGGTCTACTTTGATTTTCGACGACGACGAGCTGGCACGTTTGGATTTATTGGAGGCACAGGTGCGCGGTGGGCGAGAGATTTACCAGAATTAGACATCGTCTTCTGAAATCTTACTCAGATTTCAGAAAACACTTCGCATGCACACAGTCCCGTTGAGGAAACTATATAACTTATGGTTTTATGAGGTAATCTAAAAACAAAAACAAAACACTTTATGTAGTTAGGACCGCCGGATGGATAGTATTCGGATTACCCCGATGATTTCACTATCATGCTTATGCATTGAGGGGCAATCGTTTGCATAAAAATAAGCTGGATAAAGTGAAAAGCGAACGTCTGAAAAGGTGGTCAAGCAAAGCAGCGAAAAATGAAATATTTCTACATTGCGTAACTTGGCGTTAGAGATGGATACTCCATCGTTCGTGGAACAGAAAGAGTAATTATTGTCCAGGAGGACAGAGCGACCAACAAAAGTTGTCACTCGCTCCTCCAAGTAGTCACATATAGCACTAAGGTATGATTCAATCGAGAGTTAAAACATCGACCAGGAACCAGATCATTTGTTGATCTGCATGGTAGCAGCAGTATTTATTTGCAGATATTTTCATAGGAAGATTAGTCCTAGTTTGTTCTTCAATTAATAATCTTAGAGCGACTATATTAAAAACTATTTCAATCATACAGGTCGAAAGGGGATATTTTGGCAGACTTGCTCATCAAGTCAACGATTTTGGATTGTGTGATTTTTGTTGTTTGATTGTTAGGGACTAAGGATTGTTTTCACGCTTGGTTGAGACTGTCCTAGTCGACCGGTGTACGCTTCGTATTTGGGAGATCAGCGCCCCTGGGACCGAACGACGCTCGGGTTCATTCTCTGTTTAGTCAAACAATTCCTATACTGCAGCGAGACGAGCAAACGCCCTCGGCTGATCTACCTCTGCGATTGCATTTAAAAACCTTCGCACGTGGATCAGTAGCTCGGTAGGGATACGCCCTAAGGGTGGTGACAGACCCTTAGGGATGCAAGCTTATGCCCCGTGGGAACCCGTCCTGTCGTAGGGGACCGTGGGAAGTATAGCTGGCGCACCCGGCTAGAGCGGCGAGGGAGCGAAGCAACCGCGTCCGTCTCGGCGGTTCACGGAACAGTATGCGTCGTTCCCGAGTTGTCTCTAAAATATATGTTTTTAGGTACACTGCTGCGTGACATGGCCGGGAGGGCCCTCGTTTTCAAGCGAGGGCCGATGCGCACGATTGGTGGCGCCGTTGCTGGGGATAACGGCAAGCTACCGTTGTCCCTAGCGGAACGACACTTGGGTGATTTATGGAATGAAAAATTATTTTTTTTTTCTTGTTTGACCTTAGAAAAAGTCAGTAATTTGATCCCAAAATTATGATATATTATTTTATACAGAAGGATTGACTGATTTTTTATAATATGTTGTTGTTTTATGTTGTTGTTTTTCTTCACTCAAGATGGCTGGTAACAACGACAATCAGGATGGGAGAAGCATATGGCATTCGGGAGCTTGCAAGAATTATTCAGCAGTCCCAGAAGGATCAAATCCCGAAGATTGACGTTCCATTGTTTGATGGTAACAACGCCTCGGGATGGGCAGAAAAGTTCGAGCAATTGGGAAGTTGTTGCGAATGGTCGAATGAAAAGATGTTGCGAATGGTGAAGAGATACTGCAAGATGCAGTACAAGGAAGAGATGGAGGAGTTGGTACAAGATTCGCTGGACTGGGCAAAATTCAAAAGGAAGCTGCTAGAAAAGTACCTGTTGAGCGATCAACTGTTGGACTTGACTGATTTGAGGAAGGCTAGTTGGAAAAGCTTTGGTACAACAAAGCAGTTCCTTATTGAATTCGAGCGGGTGGCAAAATTAGTTCATGACCTTCCAGATAAAGATCGTTGCCTCATCTTCCTGGATAATTTCACGGAGGTAGAATAGTTAAAGTTGGTGAAAGGCATGAAAGAAAGGTATGATTGGCCAAAAATTCGAGATAATTTATTGGCCGGGGACTTCGACCAGATCCTTTATCGGCTGCTGAAACAGCAGAAGGAGAATCGGGAGAGGTTACAGTTGGGGACAGACAAGGACAAGGAGGTCTACAAGACCTTATCTGACATGAGGGAAATGATGAGCAGTATGAAGGAGGAACGGTTAAAACTTCAAGTGATGATGGCCAAGGCGAAAACTGGGAAGAGAAAAGGAAAGGAGCCTGTCACTGAAGAGAGTAGCAGTGAGAGTGAGAGCGAGGAGGAAAGGGAACCCCCTCATAAGTTGACCAAGGCTGAGAGGAAAGCCTTGAACCAGATACGAGGAGGGCAAGGTACTTCTCGTAAACAAGGAGAAAGCAGCAAGAACGGAGGAAATGGAAGCGGGGAGCAATAGGTTGACCAATGACAACAAAATCAAGGTCAACAGACTCAACCACAGGGTGGTCGAGGCCGTGGTAGAGGCCGCGGAAACGGAGGCGGACGTGGGAACTGGCAGGAATACGTCTGCAAATAATGCGATATGAAGGGACATGTTATTCGTTTCTGCCAGATTCTCGCTAAGGACGAGAAGGACCATGTCGTCTTCACGACGATTCGAGGAGAAGTCTTTGACTTCGAGGGAAATCTCATCGATCAGGATATTGAAGGAGGAATGAGAAAGGAGGCTTTTCGACGGATGGGCCGTCCTCTTCTGGCTACATTCCGGCTAGCTTGTCCTGAAGAAGCAAACCTTTTTGAGTTAGAAAAAACAATGGTTTCTCTGGAGATTGGTGGGTGTGACGAAAAAGAATTGGAGGAAAGGAAAAAAGACATTGCTCATCGGGCGCGAGAAGTGACAAAAAAACTGGGCAAATGTCGAGATTCCATTGTTCAATTATGTGTTGACATGGAAGAAGTCTGGCCAAATCTTCCTAATGTGTTCCTTTTTGGTGGATGGGGGAACGAAGGTTAGGACGGGTCAGCACCTGCGGCCGCTTCGGCGCCTGAAGCAACGCCGATGACACGACCAATGATGATGTCTAGACCTGTACTCAAGCGAGGGATGCCAACCGTCATGGTGCAGACGAGGAAAGGAAGGAAGACCTCACAGTCGCAGTCTGCGCTAGGAGAAAGTTCAAAGGAACCTCAGGAAAGAGAACCTATTCATGTAGAAGAAGGGGATGATGATGAGGAGGATGAAAGATTGCGAGCAGAGGATGAACTGCTAGCAAAGCAGAGAGCTATGAAAAGGGCGTCGGAAGCAGGGAAGACCCAGGTCGAGGAAGAAGAACCTCGCAAAAAGAAGAACGTGTACTCAATCCCTGTTGAACAAGGGATTGATTTTGAACAACTGGTGGATCGTATTCTGGAAAGTCAACGTGATCTGGTTACCCTGAAGGAGATTCTTGCAGTATCGCCGAAGCTCCGCGAGGAATTTAAGCAGCGCATGACTCGGAAGAAAGTCATGACAGTCAAGCTGAGCGAAATCATCCCTCTAGAAGCTAATTGGGCGCCTCCTGACACGAAGATGGACTGACGATGTGTAGTCACTGGTTTCATCAAAGTTCAAATCGGCCGTGGAGAATTTTCTGCTCTCGTAGATGATGGGGCCGAAATGAACATCATGAGAGAGAGGCATGCGATTGAAGTTGGGATTCAGATCAATCGCAATGACTTTGGATTTTTGATTGGAGCCAGTGGGGCAACATCATTTTGAGGTACGACTAGTGGCGTAATGGTCACTGTTGGGAAGGTAAAAACGAGATCATATTTTTATATATTGCCAAAGGTTGAACACGAAGTGTTTTTGGGAAGGTCCTTTCAATGTCGCACAGAGAGCATAATCTTCAACAAGCATGACGAAACCATGTTTGTAGCTTTGTGTGATCCGGTTTGCGGCTACTATGAAGTGGTAAAGTGCGCGAATACCGGACCAGCAAATTCAAGGAACCGGTTGAATCCCGAATCACATACCTTCTTAGAGTCTGAGAAGTTGAGGAGGGAGAAAGAGGAGATCGATGAAGAAAGGGATCCTCAGGAATTTTCGTTGACATTGCCAAGTATCTCACAGACAGTCGATTTTGTAGCAAGCCATCCTACAATTGATCCGAGCCTGGTACAGGCCCTGATGGAGGCTGTGGTTGACAAGGAAGGTGCAGGAACCATGCATCTTGTTTATCGACCAAATGAATCTCGCATGGAGGAATCACTGCCATCAGCCAGACAAGAGTCATTTTTAGGGGACAAAAGCTCAGCGTTGGGTCCAAGAGGAAGTATAAAAAAGTAGGAGAGAATGCGCGACCAATGCCAGTTCTGATCACTCAGGAAAAGGAAGTGTATTATAAGGAAGAACGCGAGTGGATCAGAACGTTGAAGGAGAAAGGTGAAAAGAGGCCGTGTCGATTGACGGATGACAGGGTCAAGGAGATGATCATTGGAGAGGATGGCCTCCTTACTAAGGGAGAAATCCAATTCTTTATCGACGTTATGAAGAAAGTTCATCTTGCTTATGCTTTTGATGATGATGAGCGTGGAAGGCTGGACGTCGATATGATTCCAATGATCCGGATTCATACGGTACCGCATGAGCCATGGAATGTGAGAGGTCCACGATATCCGAATCCAGACGATCACCGGAAGGTGGTGGATAATCTTGATGGTAAGATTCAGACCAAAGTGGCAGACTATTCGTATGGGTCATATGCGTCTCCTTGGTTCTGCTTTATCAAGCTGAACGGTGTTTTGCGATGGGTTCAGGACCTGCAGAAGTTGAATTCTGTAACAATCCGAGATGCGGGTGGACTTCCGAACGCCGATCAACTCTCGGAATCTTGTGTAGGCCGGCCCATCATCACCCTAATTGATTTATATTCAGGGTATGATCAGTTCCCGCTGTACACAGCGGATCGACCTATGACGGCGATGCATACGCCTCGGGGACTGCTTCATATGTGTGCGGCTCCGCAAGGTTGGACAAATGCCGTGACAATTGTGCAGAGATATATGATGAGAGTCATGCAGTCGCTTTGTCCGGACGTGACTTCTCCATATATTGATGATTTGGCTATCCCAGGACCTCGAGTCAAGGACGAAACTGAAGTGTTAACCGGCGTTCGAAAGTTCGTGTGGGAACACATCAGCAATGTGGAAAAGGTTCTGAGGAAACTGAAGGAGTATAACCTCACAGCTAGTGGGGTTAAATCAAGGCATGGTATGAGGAAGGCGGTAATACTGGGTTTCCTTTGTGATGAGAAGGGTCGTCGGCCAGATGCCCAGAAGACGAATAAGATTTTGGAGTGGTCGACTCCCTTCAGATCTATTACCGACATTCAGAGTTTTCTCGGGACTTGCGGATTTTGTTGTATTTTTATCCGCAGATTCGCAGCAAGGGTGGAACACTTGCGGAAGTTAGAACGCAAGAACGAGGTCTAAAGGTGGAGACCGAAGCAGCAGGCAGCTGTTGAAGATATTAAAATTGAGTTTCAAAAAGGCGGCTTGATTCTGGGAGTTCCTTGCTTTGATGATGTTGAAGGTCGTCCTTTCATCATCGAGACCGATGCAGGTCCTACCGCTTTGGGAGGAGTTTTGGTCCAAAAGGATGGGGAAGGACGAGAACGACCATTGAGGTTCGAGAGCAGAACTCTGAATATTACTGAGCGGAACTACTCCCAGTTCAAGAAGGAAACTCTCGCTGTGCTTCATTGCCTACGCATTTTCAGGAATTATGTATTTGGCAGGCGGTTCATTCTGCGAGTTGATCCTACGGCTCTAGCTCAATCATTGAAGAACTATTCTCCTTCTGATCCTACCATTGCTCGATGGCTGACGTATATTTGGATGTTGAATTTTGAGATTGAGCGCATTTCAGACACTCAGAATCGAGCAGATGGATAAAGTCGTGTTGATTGGGACTTATCGACGGATCAGGCTGAGGATTCAGTTCCTGTCGATGGATTCCTCGAAGGAGAGGAGTCACAGTTGAGTATTAACTCATACAATTATTTGGCGGATGCAACAACCCGGCATGGGAAAACCATCTGGAATGCTCCTTGTTTCCATCATGTGCGATCAGAGCTTGTGATTGGGGAGTCGTTCATTTAGGAAAACCCATGGGGTGAAAGAACATCAGAGCAAATGATGAACTTGGCTTTGTCTGATGAAGTCGAGCTCCCTCCCGGCCATGTCACGCAGCAGTGTACCTAAAAACATATATTTTAGAGACAACTCGGGAACGACGCATACTGTTCCGTGAACCGCCGAGACGGACGCGGTTGCTTCGCTCCCTCGCCGCTCTAGCCGGGTGCGCCAGCTATACTTCCCACGGTCCCCTACGACAGGACRGGTTCCCACGGGGCATAAGCTTGCATCCCTAAGGGTCTGTCACCACCCTTAGGGYGTATCCCTACCGAGCTACTGATCCACGTGCGAAGGTTTTTAAATGCAATCGCAGAGGTAGATCAGCCGAGGGCGTTTGCTCGTCTCGCTGCAGTATAGGAATTGTTTGACTAAACAGAGAATGAACCCGAGCGTCGTTCGGTCCCAGGGGCGCTGATCTCCCAAATACGAAGCGTACRCCGGTCGACTAGGACAGTCTCAACCAAGCGTGAAAACAATCCTTAGTCCCTAACAATCAAACAACAAAAATCACACAATCCAAAATCGTTGACTTGATGAGCAAGTCTGCCAAAATATCCCCTTTCGACCTGTATGATTGAAATAGTTTTTAATATAGTCGCTCTAAGATTATTAATTGAAGAACAAACTAGGACTRATCTTCCTATGAAAATATCTGCAAATAAATACTGCTGCTACCATGCAGATCAACAAATGATCTGGTTCCTGGTCGATGTTTTAACTCTCGATTGAATCATACCTTAGTGCTATATGTGACTACTTGGAGGAGCGAGTGACAACTTTTGTTGGTCGCTCTGTCCTCCTGGACAATAATTACTCTTTCTGTTCCACGAACGATGGAGTATCCATCTCTAACGCCAAGTTACGCAATGTAGAAATATTTCATTTTTCGCTGCTTTGCTTGACCACCTTTTCAGACGTTCGCTTTTCACTTTATCCAGCTTATTTTTATGCAAACGATTGCCCCTCAATGCATAAGCATGATAGTGAAATCATCGGGGTAATCCGAATACTATCCATCTGGCGGTCCTAACTACATAAAGTGTTTTGTTTTTGTTTTTAGATTACCTCATAAAACCATAAGTTATATGGTTTCCTCAACGGGACTGTGTGCATGCGAAGTGTTTTCTGAAATCTGAGTAAGATTTCAGAAGACGATGTCTAATTCTGGTAAATCTCTCGCCCACCGCGCACCTGTGCCTCCAATAAATCCAAACGTGCCAGCTCGTCGTCGTCGAAAATCAAAGTAGACCTTCGTCCACATCGCATGACTCTAACAATCCGAGTATCATAGAAGGAGGTCATCCGAGAGGCTAGCCTCCGAACTATAACTCGGAGAGGTCGACTAAGTCCAAACAGGTGTCGAGTCTCTGTGTCCCGGATCCGGACGAMGCCGAAACGCCTACCGGACGAGGTAATCTTGATACTCACAATGACTCGAGAGAAACATTGGAGGTTACTCGCGCGGTGGAAATACAAAGTATAACCGTAAAGCTCATCGGAAGTTCGAGCCGTGTTGGCTCTGAAATCCGCGCGAGTATTAGGGAAAAATCCCTCGTCATTTCGAAGTAGTCCAATGAAGTCGAACCAGTCGATAGGAGATCCATCTCGAGCTCGTAAAAGTCTCGCTGCACTCCTGATGAGATCATCCTCATGTGTATCACGAACCAGCAGATACCTCGGGATCCTCAAGTCTCGTCGTGCTCCAGGCATCTGCGTATCAGAACGAATCCAAATTAGTCACGTAAAAACTCCTCGAGTTCTTCCGCTTCATTTTCCAATTCATCATCATATAACGCTTCAGCCCCTATGATTGCGTACCTATTGGCACGTATCCGCTCCGCGTAGTATATGCCAAAAAATGGGCCTTGTCGCTCGTTCAGCCAAAGCACGTAACGGACGAATATCAACCTTATTTCAGGGATTTCGTCCACTCGTGTGTTGATCTCATAGGGTTGCAACACCACCAGGTTCATATTGACGAAGTGACGCTCAGGCAATGGCGGTGCGAACTCGTAATGAAGAATATTCAGGCCGTTATCATTCCTGAAAACAAGTCGTCTGGGGGGTCTTTGCACACTACCACCCCAAAATCGCGGAACGTCCTCCTCATAATATAATTCTGACGGATTATAAATAAGTCGGCCTACCCTTTCTACCCTCACTCCATTACGCCTTTGGAGTTCAACTCTCTCCGCTGCCGCATCACGATTGTTGAAAAKGAATAGTTTTGTGGTTCCCATAGTCATCTGAAAGAAAAAGAAGACAAATGTGTTTTGAGTTAAACTTTTGTGCTTGAGTATTATTCGGTTTTTGTCTTCCTTACGGCCCGTGTTTCTTATGACACGACCAACCACGTCAGGAGTATCTAACTGTACTCCGTTCAGCTAATAGGACATGAGTCGGGCTGCTTGTGGCGCCAACTCTCCATACGGTAGTGGGCCTAGGATGACCACTTAAAACAGGATTGCTAAGGCAATTTTCCTTTTTCGCAAGGCGTCAAGAAATAATTTTCTTCCGTGTAGATGCCTTTTTCATTATCCTAAGAGGTGGTCTGGGATACTCCTTCTCCTCGCCCGAGTACAAAACTCGGATCTCAGAAGTCGGGCCGTCTCCATCGAATCGGCGTAGTACCCCGCCGCAAAGCGGTCCACTCTGAGTCGATAACAGGGCCGGCCCCTAAGGCAACGAACCCCCGCCCCAGATGCCTCCTAGAAAAAGGGAAAACACCTACACGGCAGACAAGTAAAGTCTTGCCGCCTAGCGTCAAAGTAAACTTAGACGAAGAAAGAGGAATCGTAGAAAGATAGAATCATTCAAACTGACAGCATAGATTGAAGAGGGTTATTCGRGAAAGAATGGGTAACCTCAGGAATAAGTCTAAACCAAGTTGAATTTCTCTTCCTTATGCTCGCTTCGTTTCTCGTCGTCTTCTTTTTCTTTTATTTATACATAGAATACAAGCACAAAGATGAAAAGTCAATCATTCTTTCACCGTCATTACCCTCATCCATTTCAGTCCATTTGTCGTACCTGCAGTCAAAACCCAACGAMACAMAGACCACCATGCATTCCTTTACCATTGTCAGACCCCCAGTCAAACACGCAAGAACACACATCCTCTTCCCTTTTTCAATGAACATTCAGTTAAACAGGTCAAAGCAAGTGTGGGTTCACTCAGGTGTGAAGGGAACTGAGTCAATTTAACTGACTGACCTTGAGTGAAATTGAAGAAACGGCCCACTAAGGAAGACCGTGTAAATCACACTCCAGAGAAGACGATTGTCACAATAAGTCGCCCGCAAAACAATCCACACCACTCCTTAGATCGATCGCTTGTCGCGACACCCTGCGTTGCCGCCGTAAGATTTTCGCAGCACTCCCGCACCGGTTGGTTAAACTTGAGTCACCGTCGAAAGATTCCGACAGCGCTATTCTATTACTGCCGAAAACCCGGAACCGCCGCCGTAGAAAACCCGGTGGTGCTTCCGCACCACCACTGAAAAATCAGGCCTGCCGCCGTTAAAAAACCGGCAGCGCTTCCGCACCACTGCTGAAAAAACAGACCTGCTGCCACAAAAAAAAAACGGCAGCGCTTCCGCACCACCGCTGAAAAACCAGGCCTGCCGACACAAAAAACGGGCAGCGCTTCCGCACCACCGCTGAAAAACCAGGTTTGCCGCAACAAAAAAACGGGCAGCGCTTCCGCACCATCGCTGAAAAACCAAGACTGCTGCCGCAAAAAAACCTGCAACGCTTCCGCACCACCGCAGTGAGGGCCTGTGGCGCCGCAACAAAATTTCGGCAGCACGTTCGTTCTACCGCAGTGAAGGCCTGTGCCGCCGCAACAAAATTTCAGCAGCACTTTCGTACTACCGCAGTGAAGGCGTGTGCCACCTGCCGTAGTCCCGTAGTGCCACCGGGCTTGTCCCGTGGGACCAGCACCAGCCAAAGGGGAGGGGAGCAGAGTGCTCCCTGCCTTGGCTATGGCTGCCCGGTCTTCCGCCTGGTGCTCCTCTGCAGTCCTCCAGATACTCCTCATGTTGCATTAGCAGCAGCTCCAGCAGCCACAACACT